TGAGAAATAGATCTGTCTCATTCACCACAGTATCTCCAATATCTAGCACAGTGTCTGGCACAAGGTAGAAACCCAAGTATATTCATAGACTGAATGAATAAATAAAATAATTTGATAATATTCAGGGGTGTTTTGGTGAAAATGCAAAGCGTATCTACTTCCTCAGTAAAAACTGCTCACATGCTAGTTCAGTTCAATTCAGCAGTATTTACTACCTAGTCATATGAGAATCAAAAAGAATATAGGCCAGGGTACAATCCTCAAGGCATGTACAGTTTTATAAACAAGATACAGATACATATGAAAGCTGAACGCCACAAAATCAAGTGTTAAGATTCTAAAGTATGCTACATAGAAGAGATAAAACAAAGGATTGGGAAAGTGTCACTGAAGTAGGATCTGAGCTGAGCCTTAGGGCAAGAAAGACTGAAGACAGAAACTATAAAGACAGAAATGTGCTAGTTTAGCAGTTCTCAAAGTGTATCTGAAGACAAGCCCCCCCTTTTGGGTGTCCTTAAGCTCCAAGATATTTTCATAATAAGCCCAAGATGTTATTTGGTTTTCTTACTTTTGTTCATTCTCAATTATACAAAGCAGTTTTACAGAGGCTACAGGCCATGTGATATCAGAACAGACTGAATGCAGAAGTAGATATGAGAATCCAGCTGTTTCTATTAAGCCAGACATTCAAGAGATTTGGAAAAATGTAAAACAATGCCACTCATTAGGTTTGTGGTGTTTTGGAAACCGTTATCTTTTCTAAAAATATGTTATTTGTGTTAACATGTAATGGAATTACAGCTATTTTTCAGTAAATTAATAAATATTCTAATTTTTAATATTTAATTTCTAATATGATAAATATCAATAGATATACCCTACCTAACCAAAGCTCTTTAAGTCCTCAATAATTTTTTAAGAGTCTAAAGGGCTACTGGGAACAAAAGTTGAGATTCACTGAGCAGAGAAGCTGAATTAGATGTATCAGACGTGAAATTAGCCCAGGCATCGTATAACTTAAAAACATGTTTAAGGTACAGGTACAGGCTTTCCTCTCAGTAGTTATTTTTACTTAATGCAAAATATAAAAAGGCTCCATTTAAATCACTCTCATCCTGCGATTTGAAAACAATATATACAGTTTCATAGTCTTTCTGAATTACCATATACAGACATTTTTACATTTCTACAATCTTCTCGATTATCATTTAAAATAGCTACATAATCATATCCAGCATTCTTACAAACCTCAATAGCAACTTTCATATTTGATTTGTAAAGTATCTTATAAAAATATTACTATCCCAAAAAACTTACTTCTAAAATACCAAGGGATATTATTTTAAGTCAAACTTGCCTGAGAGCTGCTGTAACTTGGAACACAAAGATACTAACATTTTGCCCTAGAACTTCTGGAAACCCTGGATTCAGAACTATGTCTCACCCTAACTTTTTTTTCTTGCAGTACGTGGGCTTCTCACCGCTCTGGCCTCTCCCGTTACGGAGCACAGGCTCCAGACGCGCAGGCTCAGCGGCCATGGCTCACGGGCCCAGCCACTCCGCGGCACGCGGGATTCTCCCGGACCGGGGCATGAACCCACGTCCCCTGCATCGGCAGGCGGACTCCCAACCACTGCGCCACCAGGTAAGCCCTGTCTCACCCTAACTTTAAAGGCTCTACACACTCTCAAACTCCTTCAAGAACCTGTTTCCCCCATTCCAGGTGCTACCCATGGTTGCATAAACACAATTATATCTTCCATTGGTGTTTCCTTCCCGGCACCTGAAATGATTTCTTCTCTCCTCTCTACCTACTCAAGTCCATCCTTTAAGGGTCGGCTTGGAAGCCAGCTCCTCCACGATTCCTTTTGAGTTCCTTTCAATTGAACACTGCATCCCTCTTTGAATATTTGAAGGACTCTGAACATCACTCAAAATACAAACAAATTCTTTTCGACTTACATCATTTTTTAAATCTCACACCTTTTTTAAACTTCTTTAGGAAAGGTCTTATCAATCTCTCTTCCCATGGGAAAGAGGGAGAAAGTGCTGAGGAAAATGAGGATCAGACAAACTGTAATATGCCCCAGGTCACAGAGCTAGTGATTGAAAGAGTCAAGTTTGAATGCCAGACTCCCCTGACTCAAAGCCCATGGTTTTTCTCCCATACCATTCCACACTCCCTACCTTACATCCTTTGTGATAATAAATATTCAAGAAATCTGTAAAACTGAATGGAATCAGACTGGCTTTGTTCTTAACCTCAAGGAACCTCTAACGCAAAAAATCCAGAGAAGATAACTTCTACAGTTGTACTTTTGCCACCCTTGCCATCATATCCCTACATTTCTTCTTCTTTTTTTTTAAAATTTATTTTAATTTTATTTTTGGCTGTGTTGGGTCTTTGTTGCTGCACGCGGGCTTTCTCTGGTTGCGGCGAGCGGGGGCTACTCTTCGTTGCAGTGTGTTGGCTTCTCATTGTAGTGGCTTCTCTTGTTGCAGAGCATGGGCTCTAGGCGCGTGGGCTTCAGTAGTTGTGGCACATGGGCTCAGTAGTTGTGGCTCACGGGCTCTAGAGCGCAGGCTCAGTAGTTGTGGCACACAGGCTTAGTTGCCCCTGCGGCATGTGGGATCTTCCTGGACCAGGGCTCGAACCCGTGTCCCCTGCATTGGCAGGCGGATTCTTAACCACTGCGCCACAAGGGAAGCCCCCTACATTTCTTCTTATGGCCAACAAAACTAATGGGCAGCTTTCAGGAGACAGCATTAAGACCAACCTCTGTTCTATAAGTATTAAATGCCTATAACCACCATATTTTCCAATGAATGAGTGATAAAATTAATCATTTCTTCTGCTGTCCAAGAACCTGAGTTTACCTCCTCTAGTTCCTCCTCCAATGTCTTCATCATTACTGTCTCAGAGCAACAGCTACCAAAAATCATTCTATATTGAGCTACAGAAAATACAGCTGAAAACTATATTTCTATATAATTTTTCAGTTTCTGAGCAGTTCAATTCCTGCTCTAAAGGCATTTCCAAATTACCATGGCCATTTATTTCCATTCACCTAGTTAATCAAAATCCTGAGGTATGTACTTGATTCCTCCTACTTTCCCTCACTCATTACACCTAGTCCACCCACTCTCCACCAGAACCCCTACTCATCTCTCACCCGCCCTACCACAATAACCTCCTTTTACCTCCTTAAGGATCTCCCCATCTCAAATCTTAACCCACAACAGTCTATTCTCCATTTGGTAGTTATCTTTATTTTTAAAAAGATGAAATGACTATTACTCTTCTGCTTAAAACACTTTAATAGCTTCCATTACACTTCCAATAAAATAAAAATTCTTTACCATGGAATTCCTTACAGTATCCTTCATGACCTGCCCACCTACATCTTAACTTTACCACATTCTGCTTTCTCCCAGCAAACCACACTCCAGCCATATTGGCCTTTCTTGATCACTATGACCATGAGATTATTACTTATCACTGCAATCTGTTCTTTTCCTTTGTAGCACTTATCAAAGTTACATATGTGTTATGTTTCTGTCTGTCTCTCCCACTATGCTCTAAACTTCATGAGGGCAACATAAAAACTATTTTTGCTTTACCACTACATATCAAATAAAGCATAAAGCATGGCATGTGGTAGGTACTTAATATTTTTGAATGAAGAAACCCCTTCCCTATATATTCGTAATTTATGTTAATGTGTATTATATACTGCTTATATGTTAGACAACAAAGTACAATATATAATACGTTACTATTGTATAATAAAGGATTTGGCTGTCTTTTGTCCCAGGTTCCTGAGAAGCCCCCTCTAAATCCTTGGATTTCCAGAGTGACAGGAGTGTCTGTTTTACTCATGGTGGGCCCCTCAGACCACACTTGATAGTTTATGTTAACAAAGTATTTTTTTATTCATTGTGGGACCTTAGACAATGTATGTGAATGAGATGACTCAGGATGGGAGCCAGCCATGCCAGAAAGACCAAACGTGTGATTAGAGGGTTGGGATCCTGGAGACTGAGTTACATCATGTGGCCAATGATTCAATCAGCCATGCCTATGCAATGAAACCCTAATAAAAACGCTAGACACCAAAACTCCAGTGAGCTTCCCTGGTTAACAACAGTCTGTGTTGTTACACATCAATGTGCTGAGAAGGTGATGCATCCTGACCCCACAGGAAGAAGACAGAAAAGTTTCATGTTTGGTACCTTCCCAGACCTCACCTTACATGTCTTTTCTTTTGGCCGGTCCTGATTTCTATTTCTTTTTGTTGTTGTTGCTATAATGAAACTGTAATTGTAAGTATAGCACTTTCCAGTGTTTTCTGAGTCATTCTAGCAAATTATTGAATTAAGAGGACAGTGGGAACCCCTGTAGCCAGTTGGTCGGAAATGGGGCGGGGGGGGGCGTCCTGAGAACACCTAGCTTGAGAATGGTGTCTGAAGTAAGGGCAATCTTTTGGGGGAACCGAGCCCTTAATCTGCAAGGTTAGCCTAATTCCAGGTAGTTAGCGTCAGAACAGCATTCCAATGATATAACAGATATCATTTCATAAATGTGTCAGGGACTATGCAAGTATTTTTACACACATTATTTCTAAATCTTTAGAAAACATCCCTAAGCTTCACAACATTCCCACTTGATAGAATTATCGTACTAATTTTTTACATAAGGAAACTAAGGAGTCAAAGGCACACAGACAGTAGGTAATTTAGGTGGAAACTAAATTCAAATTCAGCATTGTTTGATTCAAAAGCCCACAATCCAGTCACTATCCTCTCCAGCTTCTCATTATTAGTTATGTAAATACAACACAAGATAACATCACAAAACTGCTACCTAAGAATTCATGGCACTCGTACTGAGAGGTCACAGTAAAATCCAAAGTACTCTTTATGAATTTATTATCTCTTTATAAGAATTATAAAGTATCACACTTTAATACAAATTTCTTTAGCAACTGCTATTAACTTACTTGTTTGTGTTTTAGAAACATGTTTCTGGAGAAAATCAACTATCTGAGCCAAAACCTTCTTATTACAATGTGTTGATAATTTTTCATCGCACTCATAACACCTGAAAAAATATACAATGTAAGCAAATATTATGAAAGCATCTTCAATAATTTTGCATATCAGGTAATAAAGTTGGTATTTATCTACTTTTGTCTTTAAGTCATGGGGTAAGGGGGATACATAGGGTGAGGCAAGAGAAATGAGGTAAATAAGTCTACAGAAATAAGCAGGGGACAGTTCATACAGAGCCTTAGCATTCAAATTAGAGTTTTGGTAGTTTATCCTAAGTGTAACGGAGTGCCACGAGAGGCTTAATAAGCAGGCGAGTGATAAGATCCAATTTACATTCTGAAAACATCACTCTGACTCATGTCAGATTGGATGGCATCAGGAATAGAGAGAGATCAGGGCAGATGCAGTGGATCTGGAGAGAAATGAACAGACGTATCTTTTCAGGTAGAAGCAGTTAACGAATTGGATATAAAAGATAAGGAAGAGGAAAGGGAGAAGCTGATGTGGGTATGTCAGTGATTCTCAAACAGGAGCAATTTTGTCCCCCAGGGGACATTTGGCAGAATTGTGAAACATTTTTGGTTGTCACAACTGGGAAAGCTGCTACTGGCACCCAGTGGTTAGAGGCCAGAGCTAATCCTGTCCCCTCACAGGACAGTCCCCCTCACAACAAAGAATTATCAACCCAAATGACAACAGTATTGAGACTGAGAAATCCTGGTCTAGATGAAACAAGATATCCTGTGAGCAGATAGTGTTTAAAGCTGGGTGGTGGATATAGAGGAATTCATTATACCATATGTTTACTTTTGTTAAAAGGTTGAAAAATAAAGTAAGATAAAAAGGGGAAGAAAACAACTGCCAGGCTCCTGGCTTAAATATTCAAGCGATGGAGGTTCCACTTACAGAGACAGGGAAGACTGGATGAGGTGTTTTATTTTGTTTGGAGTTTATTTGTGAAGAGGGGGTTAGAGAAGAGATTTTGAAAAACACATTCCTTTTCAGAAAACTACCCTCCACTAAGTTTACTCATTAGTGCATATAGTTAATAAAGGTTTCTTCTATCTATTCTCATCTTAATGAGATCCAATGATCAAATAAGAACAGTGTTTGACCATATTGAAAGTGTTTTGTAAATGTAATGCATTATACCAACATGACCTTACATATTCACAATCTTTAAATTTCTATAAATGCATGTGACAAACCTGAATTTCTTTCTTTGAAAGAGAAGTAATTCTATGGACCCCCAAATGTGACTTAAAATTATTTTCAGTATAATATAAATCTCACAAATCCATCTTACAAAACTCAATAAATTCACCATCCTTGTAACTCTATATAACTATGAAAGCAAAATTACAATTAAATATAAAATAAATTTTTAAAATAAATTTAAATAAAATTTAAAAAACAATTAAATTAAAACAACCCTAATTGATTACGCTAGGTAAGGCTTTTTTGCTGAAATTAAATCATGATTCATACCATAATCGGGGTCCTAAGAGCTACGACAGACGTTCCAATTCAGATTCACTTGAGATGAACCTATTTTACCAGGTGCCACTCAATTCTCCCACCATTTTTTTCTACTTCAGTGGTCCTCAAACTATGGTCCCAGGCCAGCAGCACTGGCAACACCTGGGAACTTGTTAGAAATGCAATTTCTCAGGCCCCACCCCAGAACTAGTAAATCAGAATCTCTAAGCCTGAGACCCAGCAATCTATTCCAACAAGCCTCCCAGTGATTCTGATACACCCTATCGCTGCAGACCACTGCTCTATTCAGACTACAGAGAAATGTTTATTGACTTGCCACACTGTGGGATCATACCCCTCTCCCTTGGCTCCAATGCTTCATTTACATATTAAGTTCTAGCAATTCTTTCCTCATTCACCCCAATTTTATTACTTGGGGCCAGCAACAAAAACACAAATGAAGCAGGCATCCAACCCTGTGGCTGAATTAAATTATATGATGATGGTCTCTCCTACAAACCAAAATATCCTTATATTAATTTTAGAACCCTGAAATGAAGCACAAAGTTAAAATATTTTTGTCTTAAAACTTGAAAACGCCTGAAAGTTCATCTGAATAACCCTAGGAGTCTATAAATTCATGAGAAAATTTTTGCTGTAAAATATAGGAAAAGCTTTTCAATACAGTGTCCAGTTAAACCACTGAAGCAGTGTGGTATGCTGGTAAGGGACTAAAGAATCAAAAAGACTTGTTTTAGTGCCTGGATCTTTACTTTGTAACCACAAAAAGGTAAATAAATGATACTCAGTGTCCTTACATATTAAATGAGGGAACTGGACTTAGTACCCAACCAGGCTTAAGTAGTAGAATCCCCTGAGAAGTTTTTACAAACTATCTATGCCTAGGCTTTCCTTGTCCCCTGCAGAGAATGGCCAACTGGCTTGACTGATTGAAGTACCTTCCTCCACTAGAACTCTGACATTCTAATTTAGCAAGTTCATTACCAAAAAGTCAACTAGCAACAATTTTTCTTTACTGTACAAAGAAAGTGTTAAAGAAAACTACAGGGATGACTAAATTTTTTACTTAAATTTTATATTCATGGATACTGTTAATTTTCTTAAATGATTCCATAGGTTGTGTTTAGGCTAAAAAGTATAAGCTGGTATATCATCTTTAAATATCATACCTTATAAAACTCAAAGACAGTTTTTATAGTGAACACAAGTACTAAGAAAATCTAACTTACCAAATGATCCATGTGCTCAGACTAATTATAATACAGTGTAACTCTGCTCTCCAGCTCTTGAAGTGCTTCAATGAATGCTGGCTTTCTGAGTTTTTACCACATCCCTAAAGATGAACAGAACACCCTTTGTATGATTTACATACACGTTTATTTCAAATTAATCAAAACTTAAATCATACTCAAACACACTAGAAGTTTTGTTTTGTTTTTAGTTTCAAGCAGGAGGGAAAAGCTTCAGAAAACAATAGGATTCTCATTAAATTCAATTTCTTGCAAAGAGGCTAACTTGCTTCTGTTACATAGAAAAACAGTCATGAGCCAAGTTAATTTCCATACCATTTAAAAGTGTACATGCTCTCTGTCTGATGCATGGTGGGACACGGAGCATCCTCACAGGCCAGTGGTGCCCCTCCCCTATACACACATTTCCTAACACCCTACACACGTCCACCCAACTCCACTGAAAACTAGTGAGACTCAGACCAATCACAGTGACTTCCATCACCAGGTAAGTAAAGAAATGAGATTCAATTCCAGTCAACGTCCCATGAGGGGCAGTCTAATGGATGTTTCTGGAAAAGTTTTATGTATTTTAAAAAAGAACACAGGGAAGGGATGTACTTTTTGCCTTCTTTCTGGCCTTTGGGGATTGCTGTGTGATACACTGTGCATGAAACGTCTTTTACCATCCTGAAACCATGAAACTGAGGATGGCACAGCAGAAAAATGGAAGAAATCTCAGTTTTTAATGTTCTTTCCATTGAAGCAAGTAACTTTAAGTGGCCCTACTTCTGGCTTTCTATGTGAGATAATAAAGATGCTTCTTATTCTAAAAAATACATATATACTTTTAATTTTATTTAAAAATTCCTTTATTAAAGATATCAATAGGTTCTACAACATTGTAAACCAACTATACTCCAGTGAAAAAGAAAAAGATACCAATAGCTTCTAAGCTCTTAAGAGAAATTACTTTGCAAAAAAAAAAAAAGAAAAGACAGAATAATCACTTTTCATAGAGAAAAAAATGAATCCAAAAAGATTTTTTAAAAACCCCAAAACTTGGATCCATTTCCTAAGTAAATACAAATAAGTAAAGGCAGGACCACATATGAGAACTACTGCAAGTGGGCTGGATTCCCTTTCAAAGTATTTATAAACCACACATGATTAATTTCTGAACATACACACATTTTACTTCACCTTAAACACTTCTAAGCTCGGCCTTGGAGAGTTACATCTAAACACAGAATAAATTAATCTTAAGTTCTAAGCATTACCAACAGTCAGAGCTCACAGTAAGATTTAAGGAAAATATTTAAGACAAACTCTCACATAAAAGAGACTTTTCTCACCTGAAAACCACACTTGAGGCACAACCAAATATCAGAAGGAAGTACTGGCTGTCCATCATAGAATTTTCTTTCTTTTAAACATTCCAAGCAAACTGACCACAGATTCTCAACTATTGCTTTTTTCACATGATTCACACTGATAGCATGACTTACATGTTGGCAAGTGAAACCTACTGAATAAGACAAAAATTTGAACATTTTCTTTGCTAAACCAAAGTGATACCATTAGCAAGCAAAAGTCAACAATATTAAAATGCTATAACTAAAAAGCACAGAGATTCAAAAAACAAAATAACTCAAAAGGATACATACTGCATGGTTCCATTTACAAAACATTTGTGAAATAACAAAATTATAGAGTTGGAGAACAGATTAGCAGTTGCCAGGGGCTTTAGATGGGGAGCAGTGGTGGGGCTATGAATAACTAGCACTCAAGGTGGTGATACTGTAATCAAGTATCTTGACTGGTGGTTATAGAAAGCTACATATGTAATTAAACTGCATACATACACACACACACACACACACACAAGTGCATGTATATCTGGTGAAACCTGAATAAGCTCTAAGGATTGTACCAATGTCAGTTTCCTGGTTTTGATACTGTGCTATAGAAATACAAGATGTTACATCAGGAGAGACTGGATGAAGGTTGAATGGGACCTCCTTGTATACATGTTGTACCTTCCTGTAAATCTAAGATTAATTCAAAAATTAAAAGTTTAATAAACAAGATTATTTATTGAGCAGCTACTATGTATCAAGCGTTTTGAATGTATTTTCTTTCACTAAGATACACAAGTAAAATCTTCTCATGGGCTAGCTCTGCTATGATACTATTTTCACCATTGTTGCGAGAAAGAAAAGAGAAGAACAAACAAAGGCATAATTTGCAGGAACAAGAATCCTCAGAATTCTCCTTAATGACTATTCCCAAATAACAAATGATTTTGCATGGTCCTTCATTATCCTTTATAAGAGATTCTTACTGTGTGCACTGTGTGGAGACAAATGGCCCAAATGAGCAAATATGTTTTTAATTTATCAAATAACCATATATAACACTTCCATTCCTCCCAAATACCTGAACACTTCAATTTCTAACCCTCAAATATCCCAAACACCAAATCTACAGCAATCTGCCAAAACCAAACAACAAAAGCAGAAGCTGAATACCTTGAAGAGGGAAACAAAAGGAGTATGTACATTTCAACTTTCTCCACTTCCCTTTCTGAATGCAAAGCATTCCTTTTCACCTACTGGTTAACTAGGGACTAGGCATTAGTTCCACTTCATTCTGAAGATAAAGAATGTGATTCCTGACAAATTACTTATAATAAATAGTTTCAACAAAAATAATATGTAAATCTGATAAAAGATTAAAACTTCTAATTTTACACCAAGAGTAAGTTATAAGAATAGACATAAAAGGAGTAATTCTGAAGTCCTATGTTTGAAAAGCAAGGATGCATGCCATTAAAGAAAGGGCTGCTCAGGGCAAGACCGACAAAACTGACCACACAGGTACAGGACCTAGAAATGGTTTACCAAATGTCATTGCTTTGAGTTTTTATATTTTAAAATTCTAAGGGAAAAATCATTCCACACACCTTCTATATCATCTCTGGCGTGGGATCTGGCCAGAGTAAAACTTAACCGTTCTCTGATTCTACAATTTAGACTTATGAAACTGAAACTTAATGAATTCAGAGATAAGTGCATTCAAGATAAAAAAGCTTCTAGACCCCTAAATTAAATCTATTAGCTTTTAAATATCTCAACCATATATACTTTTTATAAGTAAATTCAAAAGTCTGAGGTTTTCCTACAAAAGCTAACCAGTGTTTAAACAGTATTCACTATCTTTTGTGGGGGGAAAATGTGAAAAATATCCTCTACGTTAATAAGTAAATTTCCTCAGTTTTCTGCAATTCATTTAATCATACAATTGTCTAAATTTCATTTGGCAAATAGGTCCTCTAGAGATTCCTAAATAAAAATATAAAAATGTATTAAAGTCTAGAGTTGTTTCACATTAACAAATCAAAAACAATAATCAAAATCTCTATATTTTTTACTTTAAATATTAATAAAAATTTTACAAGGAGTCTTCCAGTTTGCAAATGGTGGCATAAAATTAACACTTCCCCTTTCTCCTCCCCAAAACTACCCAAGGGGAAAAAGAACAGAAAACAAAAATACAGAGTTCATTTTCAGAGAAACCAGGAGACAGCTGAAGCCCCAAGTCACAAATTAAGTGGAAAGCCTCTCACCTCAAAGCAGCAGAGATCAAACAGGGGTGCGCACAGAAGGAAGCAGAGAGAACACTGCAGCAGTAGATTTCACAGAGAACAAGGCATGCTTTGCAGACACAGAACAAAACCTAAATCTCTGTGCTGCAACAACAGTGGCAGGAGCACCCCTATATCCAATTTTGTTTTGAGAAGAATCGAAAGAAGGGGATTTCTCATTCACTAAGTGAAAAGAAAAAAGCAAGCCATAATTGCAGGGAACAGCCTTATCTCTATGGCAGTTGGAAAGAAGAGATAATTTGGATTCTGAAAAAAAAACCCAGGGCTGCATAATCCTGGTGGCTGGAAAGAAGTAAAGCCTATATGAGCTCAAATTCAACAGTTAGGTCTCAACAGTGCTCTGGCCCTCCTTCTTACACAAATATTCTAAAACGAACTAGCCCAAGAAAAGCAACCCTACGTCAAAGAAAATCAAAGCCACAAATTCTTTGCTAAGATAATATAAGAAAAAGGAAGGAAGGAAAAGGAAAAATGGCAGAGCAATCGCTGCCACGCAATAAAACCACAAAAAAGAAGCAAACACTTTAGGCTCAGGTGGCAGAGCAACAGGAAGTGACTAGCAGGGTTTAGGATCAAAAAATAAATAAATAACACCACAAAAACGAATGCAAAATTAAAAAGAGTGTAAGGTGAAAGCAACACTGCTGAACACACAGTAAAATATAAAAATGAAAACAGCACGCAAAGGGAAAGGGAATAGGAGTTTTAGAGGATTTGAGAAAAAATGATAACTATGGAAGATAGGCAAAAGAGAGTTAACATAAGAATAATAAGAATCCCTGAAGAAACCTTATTAACAGAATAGAACAAATATTTAAAGACATAATTCAGACTTCCTTCAATACAGCAATCTATCCTGAAACATTATCCAAGTTAAAAACACTTAAAAATGGAAATAATATATTAAAAACCTCTTTTTAAATGGAGAACTGAACTGGTAAGTCAGTAAGGAAAATCCTCAGAAGCTAAAACCCAAGACGTGAGGCTAAAAAGAAAAGCAAGCCAGGAAGCTAGCAGCTCCCCAGGGTCATCTGCCAACCTCACTGGCTTGAGGGCTTGGTTTTCACAGCCAGGAGAAACAAACAACAACAACAAGATGCCAGTTCTAAGTCAAATATAAAATAAACAAAATCTCAATAAAAATGCCCACAGGATCTAGACAAGCTGATTTTAAAGTTCATGCAGAAAACAGTCATTAAAAACATATATTATTATTTCTCTTCTGCAACACTATTCAGGATGCCAGACATCATAATTTACCAGCAATGTCATCTGAAGAGTCTTCATCATGAGGTATGGTAGGCCTTCTACTTCTTTTGGCTTTCTCAGGTAAAGCTTTGGATGGCTCTTTCACCCGCATCTGTTACTTACTGAAAAGGTTGGGGGTAAAAATACACATTAATCCTCAAAATTAAAACTTTATGTATTTTACTTAACGCATATTAAAATGGAAATGACTTCAAGTTTAACGGGCCGAGTAAATTAACAGAGGAGGAAGAAGGGAGCACCAGCTGAAACCAAAGAAATCTTTATTAAACCAATAAACTTTTTTTATACAAAAAGTCAAACTACATTTGACTTTTACCAACGGTTCCCTACACGTATGATGTCCAGGTGAATAAAAAAAACCTGAAGTGTACGCTGCTTCTGGTTCCTGTGCTTCCCTTGCCCTTTCTCTCGTTTCACCAGGTAGAAGACAGGCAGAGCTGCAAGAGCCGTAACGGGCCAGGGGTGGAGGCCTAGTGCCAAGCATAGCAGGGCCGCCCTTCCTGCACTGAGCGGCCCTGCACTGGGCGGCCCAGCACTGGACTACTTAAAGAGAAATACATTTCTACCTTTTTAAGCTCTTGCTTTTTTTTTTTTTTTTTTTTGCGGTACTTGGGCCTCTCACTGCTGTGGCCTATCCCGCCGCAGAGCACAGGCTCCGGACGCGCAGGCTCAGGGGCCATGGCTCACGGGCCCAGCCGCTCCGCGGCATGTGGGATCCTCCCGGACTGGGGCACGAACCCGCGTCCCCTGCATCGTCAGGCGGACTCTCAACCACTGCGCCACCAGGGAAGCCCAGCTCTTGCATTTTTTGTGAGTTTTTCCCCCACTTTTTTATTATGAAAAATTTTAGACTTCCAAGAAAGTTACAAGAACAGGATAATGAACACCCATATATCTATCTAGATTCCACATCTCAAATATCTTGCCCTATTGGTTTTATCTAAATATCAATGTGTATATAGACATATCTATACATGTATGTATGTTTGTTTGTATTTGCTGAACTATTTAAAAGTAAGTTGCAGAGAGCACACATCCCTTAAGGCAGGGGTCCCCACCCCCTGGGCTGCTAACGGTCCACGACCTTTAGGAATCGGGCCACAGAGCAGGTGAGTGGGGGGCGAACGAACGGAGCTTCATCTGCTGCTCCCCCTCGCTCGCATTACCGCCTAAACCATCCCCCTCTTCCCATAGAAAAACTGTCTTCCACGAAACCGGTCCCTGCTGCCAAAAAGGCTGGGGACCACTGCCCTAAGGAGATTCTCCTATACCGTCCTATCATTATCACTTCTAAGAAAATTAACAGTAATTCCTTAATATCATCTCATATCCTATCATATTCTAATTTCTTCAGCTGACCCAAAGTATCATCTGTACTGGTTTTTTGAATAAGGATTTAATCAAGGTTTGCACTTTGTACTGGTTATGTCAGTTAGTATCTTTTAATCTACAACTGTTCTTCCCATAAGAAATGGAGAACTAATACTGTCTTACTTTCCTAAGACACTGGCTTTTTTTAAGAGATCAGGCCAGTACGTGAGTCAAACTGGAGATCTTGTTAAAATGTGGATAGCAAAGTGATTCAGAGACATATATATATATATATATATATATATATATTCTTTTCCATTATGGTTTATCACAAGGAAAACTTTTTTTTGGCTGCGATGGGTCTCTGTTTCTGCGCGCAGGCTTTCTCTAGTTGTGGCGAGTAGGGGCTACTCTTTGTTGCAGTGTGCGGGTTTCTCATTGCGGTGGCTTCTCTTGTGGAGCACGGGCTCTAAGCGTATGGGCTTCAGTAGTTGTGGCACACGGGCTCAGTATTTGTGGCACACTGGCTCTAGAGTGCAGGTTCAGTAGTTGTGGCACATGGGCTTAGTTGCTCCATGCTCCGCGGCATGTGGGATCTTCCCGGATCAGGGCTCAAACCCGTGTCCCCTGCATTGGCAGGCGGATTCTTAACCACGTGACACCAGGGAAGCTCCTCTAAATATATTTTTAAGAAATCCTTTCTATTTCTTAAAAACTCAAAGTTAATTCTAAAGATTTTAGATACAAGTTAATGCATTTTTTTTAAACCACTATATCCTAAATCCTACCTAATACCATGCTACTCCATGGCTAAGCTATACTGTAATTTTTGTGGTTCTTTATTTGCTTTCATTGATCAAGGTGGAAGAATCTTTCAATTCAATAACAAATTCTGAATCCTGATTTAGTCATACTATGTTCCACATAAGGAAGCTTTTGAGTTTACCATTTTAAGAGCCATTTCCTTAAGTCCAAGGATCATCACTATTGAACAAGGCTGCAATAAATTAAGGCCTTAGGGGTTACAAAGATGCAGAAGGTCTCCAAGTTCCTTGACCACTTCATTTCTGACTGCCTTCACCCTCCAGACTGCCACATCCACTTATCCCTACAGTTCCACCTTGCAAAATCACTAATTCAAGTATTCTGTTCTCTGATCACAACTTCAAGTTTTGCCGGCTTGCTTCCATCAGCCACTCCAATACTCCTTTAGTGCCCAGGCTGACAAGAGGCTGCATCTCAACAAGTGCTTCCATGATCACTGTAGCAGGGAAGGGAGAAAGGGAAGTGGCAAATCGAGTGCTGGTTCTTAAAGTTTCACTTGCAAGTGTATTTTACTGGCCAAAGCAAGTCATATGGCCACACTTAGCTTCAAACAGACAAAAGGGGGAGGGGCACGGGGGGTAGTGTACAAAGAGTACAACCTTAACATGTACCCAGAAAGAACAGAATATGTGTGCACAGCCTTAATGACTTACCACACCACCCCTCTAACAGAACCCCAATCCTAGACAAATCCAATTAACCACTTTCTCCATGAATGCATCCAATCAGGCTGGAGAAAGTCTTGTAAGAAAGGAGATTGGGTCCACTAAATTCATAATCATGACCACAAACGGATCAAGACACCCCATTATCTACTACACCTTCTGGCCAACTCACTTATATACTCCTCACACAGCCTTCTGAAATCTTTTTCACTCTCCCAAACCTCCAACTCCTCCTCTCCCTACTCCTCCAAATTATCATCTGGTCTTCTACTTGATTGAGAGAAAAGAGATGTAATCAAATAGCAAATCGGATCTCTCTACCCCCCAATTTACAAACTTACCTCCAACTCTTTTAACTTGATGTCTTGGAAAGAGACAGGCGTAACTAAGAGAATCCAAGAAAAATGGCCCATGAGAAATTGGTCATATTTTTACACCCCCTGCACAGGTAAACTCTTGATAAAGATGAGCATTAACACATAGCTAATACTGGCAGAATAACAAAAAGAACCAGGTAGCTGACCTAGAATCTATAAAACACCTATGCCTTTTTTCAAAAACACTGACTCATACTTAACTTGGCAATGTAGAGTCAATTTCCAGTGATTTTTCTGACACATGTACATGTCTAAACATACAGAGCCATTTTGGATGGTAACCCACTATTTAGCAGTCTCTTATCTGTATAGCTTTCTTCTTCAATTCCCCATTCAGGCAAAAAGAGACAAAATTAAAGTCCGATTATTGGAGCTTCAAATACTGTCTATCATCAATATTGTGTTTGGGGAGTTCTGAGACCACCCTCTCATTTGGAGGTTTACTATAAGGACTCACAAAACCCAGCATATAGTTGTATTCATGGCTAACACTTATTACAGCAATGTAGTATGGACGTACAGCTTGATCATAATGAAAAAGACACAGGTGAAGTCTAGAGGAATCCAAGTGCAGTCTTCCTTATCGTTCTCTCCCTCCCAAGAGGGGTCACCACACTCTTCCCCCAATAAGTAAAATCCAGTAATGTCTATGAAACGTTTCTGCTCAGGGAAGCCCATTACAGACTCACTGGTGCAGATTTTTAGGGGGCTAGAAACTTCTGCATAAACCGTACCCTACAACATAAAACATGTTGTTCCCAGATGCCAAGCAAGCGCTAACCTTTCTAAGGACAGCAGTCTCAGGCACGCTATGTTAAGTGCTTTCAGCACAAATAAATTCTGGCCATTTTTCTCACGCGGTTTCCCAAACAAAACTTTCGTTTTCAACTTCCGCGTTTACCTACACCTGTCTTTTCTTTAATGTAGGATGTGCAACTGTTTACAAATGTTTAATTTTTTTAAAAGGCCGTGCATACAAAAGCCCATATTCTCAAAAAAGAAAAAAATCTTTTTTTCCCTACTCTTGGGCGATTATTTTCGGCGTGGATGCCGGGGGAGGGAAGAAAGAGACAAAACTCTCTTTTTAGAAGCTCAAAAAGATGACCAGCACTTACATACTTTTTTGTGCATCGCACTCGGTTCTCAGCACTGAAGAGATACTAACCCACTTCATCCTCCCAACCACCAACCACCTTATGAGATAGGTTACTATTATTTCTCCCATTTTATACTTGAAACTGAGACACACAGTAGTTAGGTGACTTGCAGAAGCCAGGAGCCAGTAACCTGTGGATGGAGATTTGGACCCAGGCAGTCCATCTCCAGGGTTCCTAATACTACACGATGCTGCCAGACACCCGCGGTAAGACTCGTCCTCTGGTCTCTAACAAAAACATCCCAAGTTTCTGAAGAGAAAATGCGCCGTGAGGATGAGCGCGGAAAGGAGGCCAGAAGGGTGCTGGGTCGTCGCGACCCTGGTCAAGGTGAGGCGGCTCCTCTCCCGCCCCACCTCGCCGGCTCCTCCCGCCGCAGCCCGGACACCCGGCCAGCCCGGCCACGCTCACGCGGCCCTCGGTGATCGCCTGGAGGCCCCAAGGATCGGGAAGGCGAGGGAGCGTGGGAGGGGCGGGGGCCGTTCTTTCCCAGGCCAGTCAAGCCACAAGGGCCCGGGGTTGTGGAAACGAAGACGGAGAAACTGCGGCGACCCCAGCACCGAGCCCCAACTCACCCTGCCAGGCCCGGCGGCCGCCTCTACAATCGGAAGAGACTGCGCCTGCGCGTCCGCCCCTCCCGCTGGCAGGGGCGGGGCCTCGTGTGCCCGCCCCCACGTTCGGTGGGTGGGCGGTTGGGGCCGCCCCTCGCGTGGCCGCGCACCCGGAGTTGGGCGTGGACGGGGAGGGGCTGACTCGCGTCGCGCCTGCGTCCTGTAAGTTTGCAGGTCTAGGTAGGCCCCGGCTAATCTTAGAAAAATGTTAAGTGGACTGTTAATTGGATCCTGATAGTGGCCTGGAGTTCGCGCAGCTGAGGTGTTCTTGGAGTCAGGATTAAGTCCCACTTGTTGCTGGACAGCGTGCCCGGACAGCCTCCGACTTCTCGCCGTCACATTCTTCTGTGCAATAAAATCACATCAGACATCATATATTTTCTTGTTTTTTCTCATTATTGTTGTCTTACCTGTCGTTCTCACTTTTTTTAAATTTTTTTAAAATTTATTTTTATTTATTTATTTTTGGCTGCATTGGGTCTTCATTGCTGCGCTCCGGCTTTCTCTAGTTGTGGCGAGTGGGGACTACTCTTCCTTGTGGTGCACGGGCTTCTCATTGCGGTGGCTTCTCTTGTTGCGGAGCTCGGGCTCTAGAGCACAGGCTCAGTAGTTGTGGCACACGGGCTTAGTTGTTCCCCGTCATGTGGGATCTTCCCGGACCAGGGCTTGAGCCTGTGTCCCCTGCATTGGCAGGTGGATTCTTAACCACTGCACCACCAGGGAATTCCTTCACTTCTTTATTAGAAAATTTCCTGACCTATACCTAGACCTCTTCGAAGCTCGATTACCCGTTAAACTGGTTTGCACTTTGCATATGTTTAGTAAAAGTAATTGGTTGAAAAATACTTTGTTTGAATGATATTGCAGACATCAACACTAGTTACAGATAAACTCTACGATTCTTGTAATCTTTCACAATTCTTCAGCCAGGGGACAGGTGTGGCCTTATGGAAAGAGCCTTGGATTCCTATTTGATGGATTCTTCAAAGGAAGGAAATTATTTTTAAATGGTACCTAGTAAGTATATTTTTAGTGCTATTGCAAAGACATTATGACAAAACATCAAATAGAAATATAAATGTGCTTAAGGTCAGCTCTGTATACATTTCAAATAATGTTAAGTATCTTAATTTTACCGTCATTGTTCTGTCTGAAAATGTATGGAATACTTTGCTAAGCTATAGGCTATACATATATTAAGTTTTATCGTGTATTTTAAAAGATACATTCTTTATTATAAAAGTAATACATGAAAGTTTCACATAAAGTTCCTCACCTTTTCCTCCTTCCCTCATTCCCATTTGCTTTCCTCAGAGGTAACATTTCCTCTTCTCTATTTTCTGTTTCTTGTGTATAGTTTCAGGAATTGTCTTTGCACATACAATATGCCTTTGTACTACATTTTTATATGATTACCATTTGTTACAAGAGAACACAGTCAGGTTAAATTACGGTCTATTTTCTATTCTACAACTTGATTTTTTTTCACTTGATCGTATATCTTGGACATATCTCCACACCAGCCTCATTCTTTTTACTTGTTGCTTAGAACTCCAGTGAATGGATGTATCATTTTTTCCCAATCAGTCCCCTGTTAATGTACATTTATCTTTGCCTACTTGTGCAGATATTTTCAGTAGATAAACTATTGGCGGTGAAAATGCTGAGTCAACAGATGCTCAAGGGCTTCCCTGGTTGCACAGTGGTTAAGAATCCGCCTGCCAATGCAGGGAACACGGGTTCGAGTCCTGGTCCGGGAAGATCCCACATGCCGCGGAGCAACTAAGCCCGTGCGCCACAACTACTGAGCCTGCGCTCTAGAGCCCGCGAGCCACAACTACTAAGCCCGCGTGCCTAGAGCCCGTGCTCCGCAACAAGAGAAGCCAACGCAATGAGAAGCCCACGCACCGCAACAAACAGTAGCCCCCACTCGCTACAACTAGAGAAAGCCCGCGCGCAGCAACAAAGACCCAACATAGCCAAAAATAAATAAATTAAATAAATAAATTAAAAAAAAAAGATGTTCAAGTTTTGATAAACTTTTGGAAAAAACGTTGCATGAAAGGCAATACATTTCCTAATTCTTCATTTGTCTAAAATCTGCAGGCTTGATGTGGATTTAGAAAGAAATGGGAAAAATCCCAAGTCTCTTAAAAATCCTCTCCTTTCCAATTGTCTTTCACTTGCATTGTGGTGAAAAATGAAATGAGTTGTTTGAGAATTAATGACTCATATCAACTCATCACTAGTAGACCTTTCCCAGAAAACATTACATTATTTCTCTGCCTTTCGTTCCACTTCAAGCCTTACTTCCCTTGGTCACACTTACTCTGAAGGAAGAACTTGGACATTTGTCCAAGGAGCAATGATCAGTACTCCTGTTTGACAAGATCTTTTTGCTCTAAGCCCTCTTTAATAAACCAAGTTTGGCACTGTGCTAGTTATAGGAGGACACATTCATCTTTTCAGAAAAAGAAATCCTACAGAAAAATATTTCTCAAATAATCAGTCATGAACACTTGAAAAGAATTGTTTAGTAATATGTGCTCTTGCAAAAGTGTAAATTAGATTAAATGTGATTCATTGAGGCCAAGTACATTGTTTCCATATCTGTGTCCATACTACCTGTGGTTTATGATGTGGATGCCACAGAGAGTACATGAATCTACAATATTTAATGACATCTTAGTTCAAAGTCAATCCACAAAGTAGATTACACAGAGACTATGGTTAAACTTCAAATGACTTGGAAAACATAACTGTAAATGTTTTCATTGGTATAGAAATCTGAAGTCGTTTTTTTATTAAATTATTGAAAGCTGAATAATTTAAAAGTGCATGCTTAATGAAATTATTCCTTGAACACATACTTTAATAATGCCATTTGGAAACTAATTTTAAAAAATTTCACTGTGAATCCATTTGCAGTTAAATATGGCTTTCATTATCCTTGGGAACCAAATTGAGAATAAATTAAAAATAAGGTAATGAACCAAGTTGAGAATAAAGTAAAAACAAGGTAATAAGAAACTTTATATGCTGTAGGCTGAATATGCTCCCTCCACAACCACACACCAAGGTGTTCTAATTCCTGGAACCTATGAATATGTTACCTTACATGGCAAAAGGATTTTGTGCATATGATTAAATCAGGATTATCCCAGTGGTCCCAGTGTAATCACAAAGGTCCTTATGAAAGGGAGGCAGAAGGGTGAGAGGAAGAGAAGAGGATGTGACAGCACAAGCAGAGGTCGGAATTAGAGATCTGAAGATGCCAAACTGTTGGCTTTGAAGATGGGGAAATGGACCAATAGCCAAGGAATGCAGGCAGCCTCTCCTAGATGGAAAAGTTTAAGTACAGAAATTCTCCCCTACAGCCTTCAGAAGGAACACAGGCTTGCTGACACCTTAATTTTAGCCTAGTGACTTCTGACCTTCAAAACTGTACATAATAAATTTGTGTTGTTTTAAGTCAATAAGTTTGTGGTATAGTAGCAATTGGAAACTAACACATTTTATAAATTAGTTGGACCTGACTCTGAGTTATCATCAAATATAGTCAAATATCATCATGTTGGGGGGAAAAGATGACAGCATGAGATTAATACTGACATCAGTTGAACCAGCTATGGGAGTGAAGAGCAATTCTTAGAAAAGTGCACATGTGCTTTGCTTTAATTCAATGCATGAGAATCCTGTTATGAAGTAAATTGGAGAAATTTATTTACTTTATATATTTAAATACTATCTTTGTTATATTCTCTTGCCACTTTTAAACTTTGTCTCTCCTTAAAAAAATAATAATCATAAACAAAAAAGCAAACCCAATCCTTAGTTTCTTACCAGGCAGTTTTACAGCAGGGCACGTTTCCGTCCGCGATTACTCCTAGTGGCACTACCCGGTTCGGCCGGAGCCTGGCTGGAGGGCGCTCGAGAGCCCGGCGCGGTTCGCCGGGCGGCGGGAGGAGGAGGAGGACCAGGAGGAGGAAGTGGTTAGTAGCCCCGAGGCTCGATCCGGAGATGAGGCTGCTGCAACTATTGCACTTGAGTGGGCGCCTGGCGATCCTCGGGTCCGCAGAGACTGCGCTCTGGGGTGAGCTCGGGGTTCCCGGGGAAAGGGAGAACGCCTAACCTCGGGTCCCTGAGAAGGGATGGCGTTGGTGAGGGTGATCGCTTCTTTTTTAAAGGCTTCCAGTTAAAAGTCAGACCCAGGGCTTCCCTGGTGGCGCAGTGGTTGAGAGTGCGCCTGCCGATTCAGGGGACACGGGTTTGTGCCCCGGTCTGGGAAGATCCCACATGCCGCGGAGCGGCTGGGCCCGTGAGCCATGGCCGCTGAGCCTGCGCGTCCGGAGCCTGTGCTCCGCAGCGGGAGAGGCCACAGCAGTGAGAGGCCCGCGTACCGCAAAAAAAAAAAAAAAAAAGTCAGACCCAGTACACTTGGCACCTGGGAATGTAACACCCACTTGCAGTTCTTGTTCCTTCAGATTCCGGGCTACTGGGGTTGCTCTCGGGGTACGCACGGAGAGGGAGAGGGGCAAACGTTGCTCCAGGGAGCTCGCGTGGGAAGGCAGTTATAAATGTATGGGTGCTTGACTGAGCAATGAAGGTCACTTCGCGACTCAGAGAAGTGAGCTCAGTGGCCAGTTCCTGCCGGGGAGAGTTGCAATGAGGAGCCCAGTCTTGCGAGTTATACTTGTGACCCACTAGAGGGCAGCACTCATGGGCTTATGAAACCTACAGTTGCCACGTTAGGGCTGTAATAGTACCACCCCTAATTTTACAGCTGGCGAAACAGAAGCCAGAGAAGCGAAGGTGGTCAGTGGAGGAGGTGGGTCTAGAACCCAGAGCAGGCCTCCAGTCCCTTCTCTTTGCTTTACGTGCT